GCGACAGCTTTTTCGCATGACTGTAATCTTGTTAATTTTTTGATTTCAACTTATTATTTTATTTATATTATTATTCTTAATTAAAAATGTTATTTTTTGTTGTATTTGAAAAATTGTCAAAACTCAAAAACAAATTTTAGTTTTGTCGATTTGAAATTGTGAAAACCCTATTTTTTGGTGAAAATATTTTGAAAAATTGTGTTAATATTTTTTATTAATTTAATAGTATTGAATAGTTTTTCTAATTCAAAAATCTTAATAATTTTTTTCTAGATTTAAAGAAATTCAAGTTAGAAAATAATATTTTTTTGTTGTTTATTATAAATAAAATAATTATAATTTATAATAATAATTAGTTAAAGTTATTACTAATGAAACATTACATAGATTAATTTTTAATAATAGTATCATCCCATTATTTTACACAATACCAACGTAACAATAACAGTGTGTTATACAAATAACAGATTCAACAATTTGGTGATTTTCAACTACAAATGAATTTTATTAAAATAGATTATTTCTTGTCGTGATGAAGTCACACTAAATAAGGTTGCTGTTTATTTTAGCTTCTTTTTTTCTTTGTGAAAAAGTGAGCCAATGATTATGCGGCAATTTTTTATTCTCCAATACAAACAGTCCATATTTGTGAAAAATATTGGGAAATTCCAAATACCATCTCCACTATGCCGCGTTATTTACAGATTTTTCAACCTGCAACCCTAAAAAAAATTGGTAGAAATTTGCATGAAGAAAATCTAAACGGAATCATACGAACTTGTTTGTCGACAAATTAATTCATTTTGCACTGGTTATTGTTTTCTTTCGAATAGATTTTCAAAATTCTCACACAATAAGTAATAATGCCGCTTTGTCTGTCTATAACGCTAAAAAATCAAAATTTGTTCCAAACTCAAGCTACAAATGGAATTTCGCCATATATAGTGCCAGAAAAATCCAACTTTATGATTCGGCCAAATGAACAGACCTTTACCAAATCACTCAAAAATGTTGTAAAATGCCCACTATTGTACACAAATCATCTTCCAAACTCAACAACGTCCCTTCATATCGCGTCTTTTGCTATAGATTTTTCCGCATTTCATTTTTGAAATGAAAAATTCCAGAAGATAGTCCAGACAATAAGTTTTACAAACCCTGCGAAGTTTAAAAGGAAGAACGACAAACTATCAATGAACATGTCTGCTTTTCGTCCAGTCGATTCTTCACTCTATGAGGTCTGTTCTCAGTTCATCACAGAAAGAGTTGTGAACAAGACTCCAACACCAAACGCTGATCGAGAAAAGTGTACACAGTCTCCCAAATTTGTCAAAGTCATTTCCTCCAAGCAAAGGAAAAACAAACGGTTTTGGTCCCCAGAAGAAAAAACTTTTGCGATCAACAAAGCAAAGCAAATTGGATTGGCCAGAGCGGCTCGAGTGCTACAGAATGAATATTCGAGTGTATATGGCGACTTATCACCATCAACTTTACAATATTGGTCCCAACGAGATAGAGAAGGCACCCTCAAAAATTAATATTACCAGGCAAATAGTGTTATATAGTTAATTAAATCCATTCAATTTGTTTATATTCGTATTTTCTCTTGATTTTTTTTAAATGCCACACTCCGAACTAAATATGTAGATGGATTACTTCCAAAGAAACAAAGTCGTAAAGGAAGTCAATTATTTGGTTTGTTATATAATTTTAATCTCCACATCCTTTTCACTGTTTTATATGATATCTTGATGTACTCACTATGAGGAAGAGAAAATGATTTACAAAAATGAAAAGAAGAAGTACCAATGTATCAAGAAAAAGCAGAAAACCTTCAAAAAGCTGGGGAGAAGTAAGACCCAAGAATTTTCATACCAGACACTAGTCAATTTCTACAAGAACAACAAAGACGAGAGAAGGAAAGAATACGTTGAAAGCTGGAAAAAAAGACACCACAAAATAAGATGGTTATCTTTTCTTTTATAATTTATTTGTAGTCTTCCGTTCTTCAGGGAGCTAAACCAGTTTAATCAATAAATCTATTAAGTTATTATATTATAATAACAACCTCATTATCATAATAAAAATAATTAATAATTATTTAGTAAAAATATTGTAAAGTTTGGAATTAATTATAATTAAGTAAAATAAATTATAAATTACTATTAATAAATTTTTTATTTACTATTTACCAATAATTAATATTTGAATAATAAATTATAATTTAAGACAATTTAAAATTTTTTAATTCAAATTTCAATTTAAAAAATAAAAAAAAATGTTAAATTTAATAAAATATTTGAAAAATGATCAATGATCGTTCTTTGAAAAAATCATTTTAAATAGAAATAAGTAAAAAAGTTAAATGATAAACTATATGATAACTTTATTGAAAAAGTCATTAATTCAACTCAAAAGTATAAACTATGCTCTCGACAACTTACATACTGAGTCAAGTGCAAACACTTCAAAATTGTCTTTCAAAGGAGAAAGCAAAAGTAAGTGATTCAAGGCGCAATGAACTCTACCAAACCGATATGGAGATCATGAAAGTGAAATCACGAGACAATAAGGTCTTAGTTGTTCAATCAGAGTTTTATACACCCGATCCCACAGAAATTCGGGTCTTTGTCCATTCCGAGAAAGACCCCTTTACCACAGCGAAGATTGCGGCTAACTCGGGCGAAGTGGATTCAACATTTTATTTGCCTGGTCAAAATATAGTGATAGACATCTTATACATTTGGAAGGAGAAGGCTGTTTCTGCGATACAAAGCTTAGTCATTGGAGAACAATTACTCGGCTCAACTCGAGTTGATGTCGAAGGTGACTTTGCAACCTTTGTTTTTGATAGATACGACATTAAAGATGGGTACTATCTGATTGTCTACAAGGCTTCATCTTCGTTGAACAAAGATGCGTACATCAGGAAATTGAAATTATTAGTAGGGACGGTGAGGTTGGGGATGGAGTTAAATAAGGGGGATTATATCATGAAAGTATTCGACACACCTTCACCAGATTACAAAACTCCATTTCTCCGAGAGATCGCTTTCACAGTATAACTAGTTTTCTTGTTTTGTTGTCGTTATGCAGTATTTGATAACACTTCAAGTCGACGGGATGAGTAAGAATGAAACCAAATATATACTCCAAATTCAAATGACGTCTCTCCTCAAAACGAGGCCGTTGGAGCGTATAAAAATTGTACAAGATAATTGAGAACATACGGGGAGTACCTTTGCAATTGATACATTTCGCTATACATCAAGTCGTTTGTCAGTCCTCCTTGCACCGCCGTGGATGTCATCAATGCGTACAAATAAGACGTTAAATCTGTTTTCCCGATATTTTGGATCATGCTATTTCTCCACCCCTCTATTTCGCTTTTAACACCACTCAAATCCTTTTCTTTCAACAATTTGATAACTTTGAAAATATACCCATTCATCGCAACAGGCAGATTCGGTTGTCTTAACACATCGCTATTAAAATTTGAAGTGTCGATCTCTAAGTTGATGACTCTTGTTCTTCTAGCTCCATTTGCCAAAGAAAATGAAATGGCCAACTGGAATTTGAGTTGTCTGTAATTTGCATCGCAACCTCCTGATAATTCGAAGAGTAATGTGGTGTCCTTTCTCATAACTGAACACGCGTAGTTAGTTGCGGAGCGCTGGAAGAAGTGCCCTCCAACCGTCTCAACTTCTAAGCAACTTGGTATCCTCATCCTTAGAGCACACGCATAAGCCGATGGTGTCATTGCGTTGACATCGTTCGTCAAGACCTCGAATTGCGTTTTGTTCGGTTCGTAGACTTTAAGAATACCATTGGTAATGTGAGAAACTTCTCCAAGAGTCGCAACATCACAGTAATCGCGCGAGAAGAAAAAGTTATTCACGACAACACCAAGCTCAGAACATTTAATAGCAATGTCCTGGTAAAACTTAAGTGCCTGGTTGGGTTGAAGATATTCCCTATTTTCTGTATATGTGCTCGACGGGCTAATCAAACGATTTGATACACCACACCCCACTGTCCCTTTTGTACCACAAACATCTATCACCGTTCCACCACGATTATTCTGATTGTTATCTTAATTGGAACTATAACTAATTTTATTATTAACTATAATATGTGATTACCTCAGCGAAACAGATATAAAAGAAAATAAATGAGTGCTGTATCATATTTATTTTAATATTTAACTATAAAAGAAACCAGTGAATGATAGTATTATTAATAATAAAGAAACAAGATAAAAAACAAACAAGAAGATCCACAGCTAATTTGAGTGCAGCTCCATAGCAACACCCCTTTGATAACCCATCTGCGTCGGCAACGATACTTTGAATGTCTTGTAAGCTCTGGAAGAGTGCGTCCAATTTTGCTTTATCGTCAATTGTACAAAACAAATTTTTGTAATGAGGAATAACGAGATCCCTCATGTCTTCGTCGATAACGGGCAATACAATCTTACTGAAACTTTCTCCAAACTTGTAGCACGTGACTGATGTATTATAAGTGATGACCGCGAAATAAGCGTATTGCCTCATATTTTGGTCGACATAATTTTTGAGTGCGTTGATCATATAGAGGTAGTCATTGCTCTGAGCGAAGGTGAGAGACGTGTCGATTAAAATGATTGTTTGAAGGAGTTTTGGTGTTGGAGGTTGGTACTCGAAGTCATAGACGTCGTCGACTAATTCCGGGAATGACCCGACCCCATCCCTTTCCATGTATTTATATCTCAAGTAAAACTTCTCATTTGGTTGTCTGCAATACCCACATATGTATTTCCCTCCAAGTCTCGTCCACGTCATTTGTTTACTCATGAAAGCTCTACACATTGAACACCGTGGCATTTCTTGAATCGTATTAAAAGAGACTACCGGAACGGGAATGTTGTTGTTATCTGCAAAAGGCGTCACTTGAATCACCTTTGGAAAACCAGTCGCATCTTTAGTAGGAGAGGAGTTGAAATAGCGAGAACTGAACGAAATGTAGGGATTCATCGTATTGGATAATTCCAAGTTCAAAGAAATCTTATATTCTAAAAGACCAACTAATAAATATAAAAAAGAATAATAATTGATGTAAGACTTATTTCAAGCAAATAATCGGGAAATTACTTATACTAATAATAAAAGGGTTTTTACTATTAGATATAATAAAAATATCTAGTTTGAAATGGTTACTATTTGAAATTTGTTTGCATTTGCCAAAAATACAAATAACTATTTATTATAGTATAAATAGTATAACATATTAGTTATGGTCATATAGTTCATTGAAGCTAAAAAAGAACTTGATAATCCAAAGTAGATGACTGATATACAAGAGTTGATAACTGGGTTGAAGGAGTGCATGAATTACGACGTCGACGACACCGCAGTTATTGGCGACTGTATTAACATCATTAGAATGATATCAAAAAAGATTGTATCGATATATAGAGAGCATGACGATGATCTTATGAGCCAAATTTCGGATATAATGACGGTGTTTGTCAATTCTCATATTCAAAGCGATGGTAATAACATTTTAGAGTGATTGGAAAAATGGCATCCCGCCTGACTGTCGTTTTAGGATACATCCTTTGCATCTTGTATCACTTAAAACGATATGGCGATGCGTTAAATGTCGTAGAGGTGTTAATGGAGTCCAAACCGCTGAACTTTTCTGTTTTTATCAAAGCGAGTGACTCGGCGATGTATGGGTATTACTACGGAAAATTATTGATTGTTAATAGCAGATACCAAAATGCCGCTGAAAGCTTCGAGCGGGCGTATATGTGTGCGTCTCCCAACTTTCAGGAAGTGATATTAATGTATTTGGTTCCGTTACAGTTACGACGGGGGAAGTATGTTCCACGAGACTTACTTGAGAAAGTGAATAACGTCCTGTTACTCGAGTTGTGTGATGTAGTGAGTTGTGGAGATGTGTATAATTATGAACAATTACTCAAGGAGAACGGAAGTGCGTTGCTTTCAGTAGGATTGTACCCACTTTACAATTCCCTTCGTATTGTCGTCTACCGCAATTTACTCGACTTCGTCTTCAGAACAAAAAAAGTGACCAAAATGCATTTGGAACTCTTCGTCAAAGCAGTCCAAGCAACGGGTGAAAAAGAATGCGATTTGATTACAGTCCAGAATATGATCACTAATATGGCTTCAGACAAAATATTGAAAGGTGCAGTTTACATTGGAATGAAGGCAATGGCTGCTGCTCCTTGTGATACTCTTACTTATTACCAATTCTAAGTCGTTTTACTATACTTTATTGTTTTTTCTTATTAATATAATAGACTTATTTCTTTTAGTATAACTATAGATAAATTTATTAATAAATTTATTATATATAATATAATACAGTTTTTTTAATTTAAAGAAGTTGTACTATAAATATTAATAAATAAATGAAAAATTAAATAATTATTTTAATTGACAATGCTATTTTTAAACAAACATATGAAGCGATCACAATAATTATGATAAACTATATATTTGTATTCAAATGTTTTTTTTTATAATTGTTAAATTATAATTAATTATCGGCGGTTTAGAGCAAATGTAAAGGAATTATATTAAAAGTAATTCCAAAAAAGATCAACCCAGATTAAAAATATATAAATAAACCATATAGGGTTTTTTCAAACCATCTGTGCCTCTTCAAATAATAAAAAATCAATCAATATAAATACACAATAAAAACATGAACTTTTTACACTTAAAAATAAACGCCCTGGAATTATCAAAAAAAATGGTTTTATTCTCCCAAAAATATTTATTCAAAAAAGATCCACTCGTTTACAGTTTTGCGTCAAACCATCGTATTGTTCAACACATTATTTTAAGAACAATCCATTGTTTTAAAACAAATTTCCAAATAAAAAATGAGATAACATCCCGTGTTTTTCATGGAAAATATAGCCGAAATATCGAGAGTATTCCAATCAAGCAGACACTAAATATATAAAGGAGAAAATATAAACATTTGAGAATAGTACTTCAAATTATAAAGAACCATATTTCCAGTAAGCCAAGAGTATTTTTAAATTGAACCAAAAATAATTCTTTAAGAGAAACTCGAAAAGCAAAACTTGAAAAGCTAGTTTGACTAAGCAATGAGTCACTTCACGTTGGTCATGTTAGGAGGTGGAGCCGTTGGGAAGTCTGCCATCACCGTCCAGTTAGTCTCTGGTGTATTTGTCCAAATGTATAACCCTACTATAGAAGACTCATTCAACACTACCATCGACGTTGATGGCGAGATGGTGTCACTCAATGTGGTTTGTATTTGCGTTTCAGTACTTTCATCATATATTAATCAATAGGTGGACACAGCAGGACAAGAAGAATACTCCTCACTAAGAGATCAATACATGAGAAGTGGTGATGGGTTTGTCATTGTATACTCGATCATATCAACAACATCATTTTTGGAAGTGGGCGGAATTCGAGACCAACTCTATCGAGTACTCGAGAAAGACCCGGGCGAACACATTTGTATGGTGATTTGTGGGAACAAATGCGACATGGAGTCGGACCGACAAGTCAATACAGCGGAGGTGAAAAGTATTGCCGACGAGTGGGGGTGTGGCTTCTTCGAAACTTCTGCAAAAGAGCGTATTAATATATTAGAATCGTTTCAACAACTCGTCAGAGACGTTAAAAAGTGGAACAAGCCCCCTGAACAACCCACAGAGGGAGCTGCTAATTCAAAAGCACCAAAGAAAAAGGGCTGCTCTCTATTTTAATTGTTGTGTGATAATTCAAAGTTTTCGGCGTTTTTAAGTATTTTCTGAATTACTTATAAGATATGATCATGTTATCTGATTTTTTAATAAGAATAAACAAAGAAAATTATCAAATAGTACAATTCTATTGAGAAACGAAATGTATGGTTTTTGTCTAGATTTGGATTCAGAATTGTTGTTGAAATGGTGTGGAAAAACAAGTGAAATGGAATTGAATAATTTGGAAAAGATTTGTGGAGAATTATTTTTGAATAGAACTTTATGATTTACAAATGGTTTGTTATTCATTATGAAAATCAAAAATAAATAACTACAAAAGTTATTAAAGTTTAATTATATTTATATGGATATATTAACTATTGAATTTACTAATTTTGATTAGAAGATATTAATAGTTTAAAAAAACGAATTTGAATAAAATAATTCAAAAAAAAAATTGTAAATTATAAAAAGTAATTATTAACTTTATAGTATAAAATAGTATAATGATTATTTAATTAATTAATAAAAAGTATTAATATTAATAAGAAATAAAACTTTTAAATTTAGTATATTTTACTAATAAATATTTATAACATTTTAATAGTAAAAAGGTATAATAGCGAAAATTAACAGGACAACAGGGCACTGGCTTATTTCTTCACTCTGAATTTGCACTGTTGGGTAAGTTTTAATTTACCTCCGGTTGGAGTACCAAGAACGATGCCACACTTTGGGCATTGGATTTCTCTTTCTGCGTGGGAGAAGGTGGTGGTAGTGGTTGAACATTTTGGGCATTTCACATCCATGAAATAACTGTTTGGAGTTTGCACGAGTCTTTTCAATTTGTGGGTTCTCTTCTGGGACTCAGCAGATGGGTTCAACAAGTCGACTTCGATCAATGGCATCGCTCTTGTGAATTACACTTTACTAGATCAGGGTTTTCATGTCTATTGGAGGGGTTTACTAGTTTTTACTATATTGTTACTAATGAATATAATAACTTTTTATTCTTCTTAACCCTTTATTATTTCTATGTTGTTTCGGGTTTTTAATAGAATTAATAGTTATTAATTTATTTAATATATTTAAATAATAAAAAAGATTATTATTATATCTAATTAAAATTTTACTTTTTAATTGTATTATAGTAAAAAATAATTAATTAAAGTTAAACTTGTAGTTTGTTGATATATTATTAATATAGTATAATTTGTTTAAAAATATAATTATTTCAATTTATCATTATAAACAATTTAATATATTATTTGTACTAATTCAAATGATCATGAACAAAATATAAAAATACATAAAAACTTATAGAGTAGATTTATTTGGTCGTCAAAACAACCTTATATTATTAATATATTAATATGTGAACTAAACAAAAAACATTCATTTGTTTTTCATTATAATGTTTTTTATTTATTTAAATTTCACAACAATGAAAAATGAAATATGTCACAGAAACCATTGTCTTCGAATAGATTGCAGTCAATAATAAATAATAACCCCATATCCATTTCTTTTTTGGCATTATTTGGAGTTGTGTTGCCCCTTTGAAAAAAACGCAGAAGTGGCACAATTCCGAAATTAAATTAATAAAAAACACAATGATCACCCCACTCCAATTCAAAATTGTTCATAAGTATAATAAAACGACAATAAGCTTTAATAAGTCAAAAGAAAAGAAAATCCCTTTTGAGTAAAGAATCTTTTAACCAATAATTAACACTGACAAAGAAGAACTAAGTTACAAAAAAACACACTCTCCTTCTATTTAAAAACAAGTCTTTCTTTTCTGATAAATACTCAATTATTTCAGGACAACGGATCTTTATATTTGAAAACCACTTCTGCTCGATTGCTATGAAGGGACACACACTCCACCACTTCAGCTTTTTAGAGAAGAAACAGAGCAAGCCAATAACAGTGGTCCAGCCTCAAAATCATCGGGTTAGTGAACCACTTATTTCTCAATCACCAACTCACTCCCAACAACAAACAATCCCATCAACCCTTCATCAAAAGCAAGAAATCGTCGTCATTCCTCGTCGAAGCTTTTCAAGCCCAAAACAGACTTCTGGTCTTCGACAAGAATTTCCGTCAGCACCACAAACTCCTATTCCCGACACTCCCGCAACAACAGACCAAAAAGTCACAAGGAAAAGACGGATGTCATGGAGCTCAAAGAACCCCGCCGAGCAACGGAGGTCACTCACGTTTCTCGCGCAAGACGACGAGAGTCTAGCGATGTTTAAAGACAAGGAGTTGCAGGTTGTAGTGAAGAAAGAGGAACGAAAACATCAACTCCGGACAACGACCGACTTGCGGAAGAAAGTAAAGATCATATTTGACTTCCAGTGTTACAAACAGCACATCGTAACAACTATCACCGCTCATTTATCAACCACACTCGGACACAAAACAGAGAGTTTCATGAAACATTACAGCGAGAAACGGAAGTTCGAGGAAGTGGACTTAAAGGACTTTTCGGGACATCCCCTCGACGGCAAATTATTGTTTCAGGAGTTACTCCTCAAGAACGTGTTCTGTGTGTTTATCTGCACACGGGGGAATCCTTTCACATCACCAAAAGTATACCCAAGCGTCTTACTCATCAACTCGAAAAAGGCTATTCCCCAAGTCGTCTTCAATTTGTGCTGGTGGATATACACTTTTGGAAATCGGACTGAGGGTATTTTTAGGGTTTCTGGGAAGGGGGAGTCAACAAAAAAGAAGGCGGAAAAATGTGTGTTGTGCGACACGTCTTTTTTATATTCACTGAAGAGTCAAACAAATGAAATTCACAATGTTGTTGGGACCCTCAAAATGTATTTAAGAGAGTACACGAGTGGTCTTGTGGACTTCACAAAAATCAATCAAATATCGCGACAGAAAAATCAGGTGATGTACGTCATTAAGGCGTTAGAAGAAACTCAAACGGAGGATGTCATTTGTTTAGGTTTGTTGTATGGACTAATTATGAGACTCATTAAATATGAAAATATTCACAAGATGTCATTAAAGAACTTTGCGATGATATTAGGCCCTTTAGTCATCCACTCTGTACCCGGTTCTAACCCTTTAAACGTGACTTTGGTACAGCTTGACTTTAGTATGGTGTTAGCGAAGAATTATGAACCAATTATGAGTGTCTTTGGTCTTACAAATCCATTCATGGAATTACCTGAATTGAACCAAGACAAAGAAAAGAACTTCAAGAAGGTAATGCATTCACTCGACATGATTCGGTCGCTTTCATTGCAAACGCCAGCTGAATGTGAACGGCTGAAGGAGCAACTCAAAAACCAAGACACACTCAATTTCCTCAAAACAGTTAACAAAGAAATTTTGGTTGATGTGATATCGACCATCATCGACTGTTTGGACTTTTAACTTGTACGATGAAAATTGGAATACAGTTGAGTGCGCTCGAGCACTATGTTTATAAATTTTTATACTATTCTCGTTGTGTTCTTTCACTCAATGCCGAATAACAATAATAAAACACAAACAATAAATAAACACTATTTTCTCGCCTTTTTTCAACACAAGTGAGGTGCGACGATTGTAAAGTAGTCGTTATACCCCCGCAAGTTTCTTCAATTTTTCAACACGATGAATGATCGTTGGAGTTGAGAATGATCTCGTCTGTGGGATTAAGAAATTGGATAACGCAATGAACGACTCGTCTCTCCCAAATAACTTTGATATTCGACTCTTCTTTTTGTCTTGTTCCTTCTTCTTGTTTGTCATGAGTCGTTTATCAATTGTATCGGGCGATATCCGTTCACCCATTTTCTGTTTTAATAAATCACTCTTTATGACATTTTTCCCGTTCTGTCGCGCTTGGTCGGCGTTGTCGGAAACGAGAAACGGCGATATCTTCTCGAGGGAATTCTGCCGGCCAGTCAACTTCGCCAATTTTTGTTCCTTTTTGTTTTCGATTTGTTTCCGTTGCATGAGGCGCGAGACTTCATTCATTTCTTCAATCGACGAACTTTTCATTTCTTCGTCAGACTTCATTGTCTTTGATAAAGAATGGAGTTGTGGTGTTTTAAAACTCTTTTCTATTTTTTCGACTTTCTCTTCTTTCTTGACTTTCGTTGGTTTTGTGTCGTGGGAAATATCATCGGGTAGATTTGGTTCGTCCTCTAAATCAAAAAAAAGACCGATGTTTGTTTCAGACGAATCATTCCCCCATCCTTCCATCGCATACGTTTCAAAAACTTCCTTGTCGTCAAATGGAGTTGCTGCGTTGCTTGTTAGTGATTTCTTGAAGTTAACATAAGACTCGGATTCGGAGTCCTCTGTGTACGAAATGGTGCTTGACCGTGAATCAGCCATCTATCTGATAGTTCTATTTTGTGTTATTTTTATTTATCTTTGATGTATATTTCCCAGTATATTTGGCTTTTGAATCGGGACAATCCCACCATTGTTTGAAATATTTTTGATTGAGTGAATTACTGCTTTTTTTCTATTTTGGTTCATTCAATTGAATTTTAATTAATTTATTTGACTAATAAGGAGTTTATGGTCAATTGTGGGCGCATTTGCAACACTCAGCAAGAAAAACTGGTTGGTTTGAAATGTTTTTTTTGAGAAAAATAAAAATAGATTTCATCATTTTGGGGAAAAACGGCAAAATTGGCAATTGAACAACAAATAACGTATTTGTTTAGAACTAGCGGTTTAGCTATTAAATAAGAGAATAAGAAAAAATGGTTTGCTGAACAAAAAAATAACATACTTATTCTGTTATGCCGTGCCTTTTTTTTTAATACAAACCTATATTTTGTGGACTAAAAAAACAGTGAAAATTAAAAATGGCAAAAACAATATTACAATTATTAACAAAAAAAAATCAAAAAACAAAAGAGAATTACTATTTTTATGTAAAAAGAAGGCGATATTGCGGAAATAAAATGTTATCTGTTCAGGGTAGTGTGTTCCTACAATAGAACAAACGGATTTTTTAATAAGTTTTTTTTATTTCGTAGAGATTATTCGAAGTGTTGGGTTTATTTGTGATTCACTTCTTTGTTTAAAAAAGTAAATAATAATGAATAAGTATTATTCAGTTAGTTTCCAAGATATTTGCCATTTAAATATCAACACAATTAAGTTGAAATATCAATCTATTTTTGCGTTTCACTAAAATGGTTTTGGAATTAATAAAAATAAATATAATGATTAACAATAATAAAAATATTATTATTTATACAATACAAATATTAAAAATAAAACTATTAATAATAGGAAATCTACATAAAAATGGTTTTTTAACATTTGTTTTTTTGCCGAAAAAATACAATATTTTTTGTATGATTTTTATAATTAGAATTTAAATACTCTTATAATATTGAAATATCATAATATGTATAACTTATTATTTTAATAAAAAAACCAAAAATATATTAAAATTTAATTAATTTATTTCTAATATACTTTGTCTTTTTAAATATATTTGTTATTTTATATATAGTTTTTTTACTTGATTTAATTTAAAAAAATGAAAAATAAATAATAATATAACTATAATAAATTAAATAGTAATAATTATATACTTTTTTTATACAAGTTAATAATATATATAAATAGATAAAAGAAGTGTCATAAGTTAATTTAATTTATTTATAAAAATCCAAAATTATTATTGTATATGTAGTTTATTTTTAATTATTAAATTAAAAATAATTTAATATTTGTTTGCATGTTCATTATTGCTTTAAAATATTTAAACATATAGTTAAGTTTTATTAAAATAAAAATAATAAATTGTTTATTTTTTTTAAATTAATTAATTTTAGTTTTTCAAATTAAAAAGTGATAAAAAAACATTTTTTAGATTAAATAATATTAATAGAAATGATATTTTTTGATGATTTCAAAATAAATAATTTTTTTGTGGAGAAAATGAGGATTGTTTTAGGTAGTTAAAACAAACTGGTATCAGTTTATATAGTGCTTTAAGCATAATAACTTTCACTTTCAATGCAACTTGTATCTATTTGATGTGTTTAACACCAGTATTATTTTTTTTCAAATATCAAGAATACACCAACCTTGTTATTTAAGAAAAACTACTTTTATATAGAGACCTTATGAACTTGAAGTGAGTAGATGAAACTATAAAGTTTAAGATTTGCAAAGTGTTTTAGACACATTATTATCAACGAACATGTATAAGATCAGCATAGCATATATCTGGATAATTATTTGGATTCAAACTTATCCAAAATTTGATTATCTGGAACAATTAATTTCTTCCATAATGAATTACTTTTGAGTTTCAATTCGATTTTTTCCTTTAAAATACATAATAAACTAATCACATAACCTTAATGGGTGTTCTTGAACGTGTGATTCCACTTGATAACGTTTCGCGAAAGGAATGGATACAATTTGAAAAAGAAACAGTCCAAATGGTTGACTACGAATTTGTTGAAAAACATCAAGTCCGCACTACTCTCCGAAGAACTGTTGTTTACGAAGAAAAGACCTACAGTGATCCACCTAAAATACATTTCATGCGCAAACATAGATTTTTCAAGCATATTCGGCGAATTGGCAGTTATCGAGGAATTGGTAGACAATACGGCAAAATGATATTAGAAATCGGGCTCTTTCTAGTTATTGTAATTATAATTATTCTTATTTATAGTTTTAATTTTGCTCTCGAAAGTACTCAAAAAATAAACAATGAACTCCGCAAGGGGAAGCAAAAATCCTGGTGGAATCAATTTTGTGAAAAGTCAACAAATCTCGGCGCGGAGTGTTGTGAAGCAGCCCGAACTCAAAACAAGAGATGCAGACAATTTAAAAGCTATACAAATAGTTACTGACAAATCGAGACTTAAACCAAACACCCACAACACCACAGATGTTAAATTAATTAAAGAGGAAACACACACCATTAAAGATGAAGAAAAACAAGAGGAGATCAAAGAAGAAATCAAAGAGGAAATTAATGAGGAAATAAAAGAAGAAATAGAAAGTGATGAAATTGATAGTGAAGAAGCATTAAGACGAGAGTTGGAAGAGTGTGAAGAAGAAGATGGTGATAAGAGTGAGGAAATTGTGAGTGAAGTGAATCCGAATGGAATGATTAAACGGAAATGGTATGACGACGTCATTTTTAAGAATCAAGGAAAGAAGGATGATGTCAAGAAAAAGCGTTTTATTAACGACACGATCCGGAGCGATTATCACAAGGACTTTCTTGACCGATTTGTGAAATGAAGACTTCCCTGCAATGAATGGCAAATGAATTAACACTTATTAATTACTTTATTCTAATAGAATTCTCTGATTTTTCCCATTCCAAAATACATACTAATAGTTATTAATAAAATAAACCAGTTATATAAATTGAAAAAAAATCAGATACTATAATTTAATTATAATAACAGAATAGTTCCTTTTCGAAGTTTCAATACACGAATTTACAAAACGTACTTAAAACAAAAATCAATAAGAAGATGTCAGAGGCGACACCTCAACAACCACGGAAGAAAAATTGGTTGTGCATATTTCCCGGGTGCACACAAAAACCGATGTGCCATTATAACGCTTATAGTCACTGTTGGGACGGCCATTTAAGACATTTGGCTTCCCCGCTTATTGGTGGCGGGAAAGCGGAGGTCTACAAAAAGTTGAACAATCGGGAAGAAGTTAAGAAGCAATGTGAAATTTATTTAGTTGAAATCAAAAGCGATGAAGACGTCGAAAACCAACGGACTGTGGCACGACAAAGACTTGGAAACCCACAATTGTCAATCACTGTTGAACAACCACAAATTATCGATCAATCGGATAACTCACTTCAATTCCAACAACCGATGACATTGCAGAACATTTCAAACAATTCAAATAACTCGGCATTAAATAATTTGAATGGACTTAACACGATGAATACATTGAATAGTCCTCTTGTGAATAACTCAATCAACAACTTTGGTCTTAATCCAGACCAACTCAATGTACAAGACTCAAACTTGTCGGTACAACAATTGATGATTCCACAGACCCAAGAAACACCTTTGTGGGACTGTGTGGTCAATGCAAATGTGTATCAGAAAGACCTCGAGGCACTCTTGCAACACGACCAATTCGTGAGAATCGAACAAATAACAGAGAACTTGAAAAGACTGCACGTCGCAGGAGAGGTTTTGGCCGAAAACGGATTTCTCCAGCGGTCAGACGCCCGCTCAAAAGATCATATTGAGCCACTGAAAAACTGTTTAAACACGATATTACAATTAACGGGGAAGTCGTATAAATACATTGGAAAAGATGACCAGAAAATGGGGTTCATTGCACAAGAAGTCCAAGACGTATGCCCCAATTTGGTTCATGAAGATGAACTTGGCCTCTCTGTGGATGTCGTTGGGATCATTCCGTTGCTTGTTGAAGCACTAAAGGAAATTCAAACTGCTGCTTCAAAAACAGCCGACTGTTCAAATGGAAAGTTTGCGGAGCTTTCGCTAGCCGCCGACGAAGCACTAGCTGCAGTCAAAGAAATTGGAGAAAAAGTCCAAAAGGACGAAGATGAAATGAAGAAGCATTTAGGCTTTTTCGCGTTGGAAGAGTCTGTTTTTTCACCCGGACCAGCTCTTTTCACACTTCTAGTTGCGATGGTGTTGAGCGTACTCTCTGTTGGTGTAGTTGTGGTGTTCCAGAAATTGATTGGGATGTGGTTATATGTCTGGGGGATCACAGCGTTATTATGGATTTGTGTGTGGTGGCAGCGATGGGAGTTGAAAGAGATATATCAACATCGCCATGTTGTGTGGTATTGGAAGAGTGAGAACAGTCTCTTTTTGTATTACAGCAGTTACATTTTCTTCATATTTCTCAGTTTAAGTCTGATTATGGGGAAGGGTGTAATTACACTAGTTGGAGTCAGTGTTGGGTTATTGATTATAACATGTGGGATATTATATTGGGTGACAAAGAAGTTCAAATTGGGATGGAAGATACCAACACTAACGTTAGTGTTATTGCTCACAAGCTTTGTTATTGTCAGCTCGACATTGATTATAATACAGCCCGAATATCAATGTACGTTAAATGGAGAGAGTGATGGCTATGAAATGCATTTGAATGTGGGAGAGATGTCGGAGAAGGTTGTTGTGAATAGTGTTCCGTGGAACTGTTGGATAGCAGACATGTTTAATTCAAACGAATTGCCGGGTGGTATGAAGTGGAGCAATGGAGATACTTCACCGTTTTTGGAGGGCTATATCTCTGAAAATTTCAAGACATTTTCAACACAAGTGAGACTTCAATGTGTCGAACTCGTTACATTTAATTGTGGCGAAATCACGTTCAAAAGTTTGTTTTGATCGAATAAATAATAGTTAACAAGAAGCGTGTACTGGAAGAGAAGAACCAAATGATTGTCGGGAAAATGGGTGCAAGTGGGACGACGACGAGATGAACTGTTCGTTTTGAGTATGTAGAGCATTTTGTGTTGATAATAAAGTAAAATTTTGTGAGTAATCTTTTGTATACAATTGAAAGAGTTTGAATTTAATACATCAAAGTCTGGGAAAAAAAGAAAAAAAGCATGTTAATTAGTAAACCGTTGTTATAATATATTTAAACTAAAAAACACTTTTAATAAAGTTTAATATTTTATTAAAAGGTATAATTATTTTATTATTTGTCAAAAAATGGAAATGAGACGTTAAAATATATAGTTGATTTAACTATTTACTTATAATCGAATTATTTTAAAACATGAAAAAAAGAGAGATTGGTTGAATTATAAATATCTAATTGTTCCCATTTGATATTTTTTTACCAAAAATAAATAAAAAAACACGACTTCAACATATGAATAAAACATATTAAAGATAACTAGTATAGTATTATACATGAACCAGTATTTCGATCCTCAAAAAACATAACAAAAAATAAACCATATAATATATAATAAAAAAGTTATTAAATATAGAATTTGTTTCAAATTGATAATACTTACTTTTCTTCTAACCAATAGCAAAGAAAAAGTCCTCGAATTGTTCAATAAAGGATTTATTAGTTTTTTTAATGGAACAAAGAATATTAATATAATCTGGATGTCATTCACTGACACCGAAGAGCAGCTTTTAATGGAGTGGGTCCGTCGCCGTCTTCCAAAATCCCAAATATCAGACATTACCGTTGATTTTCGTGATGGATCTGCACTTTTAGAACTTGCCGCTTCTTTGACAAAAGCTGCTGTTCCAAAGATACAACCTGCAACAAACATGAAAGGAAGAATCCATAACATTGAACAGGCACTTAATATGATTTCTGGGAAATACGGAGCATTTGATGGAGTTTCAGTCCATTCCATAGCTAGTGGTAATAAAGATAACACCCTTAGTTTACTCAATTGGGTGAAAAGGATGAGGGAGTTTGACAAACAACGCCACAAACAGCAGAACACCAAGATTCGAAAAGACTTACAGAGATTTGATAAGAAAACAAAGGACCTTCAAACGGCGGAAAATTTTTCGATAGTCGAAAAAGACCCACGTGGAGTCGCTGGAAGAAAACGAGCGTTTACCACGAAAAAGGGATACATCGAAGTGTTAAAAACAACAAAAGCAGTTTCACAAAAAGAGATGTTGAAAGAAGAGATCTCAAGAGAGCGTTCGTACTCTCTTCTGAATCCAATCAACACGAAACCACAACACGAGAAAAAGCATCTCCGCAAAGAAAGTAAGTATCAAAATGTTTCTTGTGTAATCGAACAAACAGCACTGGACAATATCAAAAAGGGGAGTCAAGGCAAACAGAAATCTCATAATACTAAGAAGGCTGAAAAAGTCTATTCACAAATTACACCAAAGAAAAAGGAAGTCAACAACAGCGTTACAAACACATGTAATACAAAAGAAGAACAAGAACAAATCACTTTAAAATATGTGGAGAACATTGAAAACGACCAGAAGAGAGAGAAAAGAGAATATCCAATTGTGAAGGAGAGGGTGAGAGAAACACTAAAAAGAGAAGAACAAAAACAAGAGAAACCAAAGAGCGGAGTACCTCCGTTGCCAATGTTTGTGAAGAGAAGGACAACAACTTGCTTAACACAAAAGGAAACGTGTGATGGGAGTGTTGAGAAATCGACAGAAAGAACTGTTCTATCTCCAAGAAGAACACCAGTCTCGTTGGAAAGACCTGTTATTGAACAAAGAAAGGCAGGAACCGTTTCGAGAGAATTTTTAAATGAAAGGGACACGGGAGAAATACTTTCTGATAGAACAATGAACTTGAGCTCAGACAAATTAACATTGAGTAATTCACCTTCACCGAGACTCGAAGATGACGGCATTAACAGAAATCGTACGGAGTCATTCACTGTCCCGTGCTTGCCTCGGCCACTTGAGAAAGAAAAGACCCCTCTGCCAGAGGAGGAGATTCCACCAGAAAGTATCACTGACGCAAATTCAGATGAAGAGACGTTTATCGAGTTTGATGAAGACGAGTTGATGGAATGCTATGTTCCCAATGCAATTCGAGAGGAGAAGATGAAAGAACGAGGACTTGAGACGGAGAGTAAAGAGTGTGGAGACATCAAGGAACTCACCAAGAATGTGTTTCTGTTAAAAGGAGTCTACCACGTAGTCACTGATGTGAAGGGGGGTGAGAAAGTCTTAGAGCCCCTCGACTTATCAACAAAGAGTGTTGTGTGTTGCATTCAAGCCCTTTTGAGGAAGAGAATGGACATGGAATTCTTTAAGAATGGGCTTGACCTCCAGAATAAGCGAATTGCTCAAATGACCCAAAAGGTGAAAGAGAATGAAGGAGGTGTAGTGATGCTTCAAGCCCTCATCAGAGGGCATTTTGTGAAGAAGCAGCGATTCTTTGTGAAGGTGAAAAAACTGAAAATGGCGGTGAAAGAGATATATGACACCGAGAAGAAGTATGTGGAAGACCTTAAAATCATTCAACGGATGATCCAAACCACCGTTGAGATGAAGTACCACGTTGACATAGTGAACCAAGCTCAACTAATCATTGACATGATGATCAAATGCAACAACGTGTTACTTGAAGACATGGGAAGTGTTATGAAAGACGACAGATTGGGGAGGGGAGTGAATGCTGCGTTTGTTAAGTTCACGTCTTATTTGACGTATTATACCACTTATATGAATATCTACTTCCCATTAAAAGACTTTTATGAGAATGCAAATAACACGGAACTGGTCACTAAAATCTCGGTCGAGGTACTTGGCAAAACAAAACCAGACAACTACTTGATCCGGCCAATTCAACGTCCGCCACGCTATAAACTGTTACTGGAAGCCGTGCTTGAATCGCTCCCAACGTGGTGGAAAAAGGAGAGAAAAGAATTGAAGATGAGCACTGCGAAGTTGCGCGAAGTCATATTCAAACTCAATTCTTATATGAAGACAAACACGGAACATAAAGAAGTCGACAAGTTGTTGAGTAAATTAACGTTCCCGAGACGGTTTAAATTGGGGAAGGACGCGGAGAAGAGGGTTGTGTTTCAGGGTTTTCTGAAACGCGTTGATAAAGAGAAGGACGAAGAGTTCTGCTGCTTTTTACTGCCGGATTACCTCTTTATGGCGAAGATCAGGAGAGACGAAGTGGGGGATGTCCCCAGTGAAACGCTTGAGAATAAGGTTAAGGTGTATCATGTCATTGACACGCGAGAGTTGACACTGATGGATGTTCCAACCAACGAAAGTGAGTTTTGTATAATCATTCCGGGGAAGAGTTTTCGACTGCGAGCGGAGAACGAGAACGACAAGATGACGTGGATGCACCAAATTGATGGAATTTTTTCGAAACAGCAACAAACGATATTGACGAGGATGCAACAACTGCAGAAGAAGGACAAAACGGTGGAAAAAGAGAATTTAAATATCAGCGAGTATTTGATCCATCCCGAATATGAGGAGGACATCTACTATTTTGATGTGGCGACGGATCAGTGGGAGAAATTCTATATGATGTTACATGGAGCTGCGCTGTGTCTGTTTTTGAGCGAAGAGGAGGCCGCGGAGTTGAAACAACCGACGTTGGTGTTTGACATTCTTGAGTTGAGATTCAACGCCCTCCAAGTGTCGACACGGAAGTACTCGTTTGAGGTCAGCTACAAAAGTTATACATACATCTTCGCAACGACGAGCAATCACTGCAAATTCATGTGGCTGTATATGCTGAGAAACGCATTTTATAAGAACTGTAAGATGCACATGGACTTGCACGCGTTTACAGTGAATTTGTGTCGAACAGACGTTCTGAAGACTTGGACTTGCTTTGATGAAATAGAGAAGAAGCCAAACAACGAAAACTACAAATACCTCCGAGTCATGCTGTTACAGCCACATAACCAAGTGTGTGCGGACTGCGGGAAGCCAGTCAGTTATGCAGACATCGACTATGGGGTGTTTATATGTGAATCGTGTGCGTTGGTTCATGTTACTTGTAAACACGTCAAGAGAACGTTTGACTGTGTGTTGCCGTTTTGTAAACTTTTGAATATTCCGTTTGCTGCATTGGTCGTTTGTTTTTGTTCATTTTTCATTTTGAAGTGAATGCAGTGGACATTTTGGAAGTGACAACAAGCAATTGCATGAATTTGGGAATTTGAGAGGAACTATTTTGTATAGTTTAAAAACAGAGCAGACTGTGGCGAAACCGTTGAATGGGGTTGAGAACTCTGATGTGAAACGGAAATGGATCCAAGCGAAGTATAGAATGCCGAATATCTCTGTCTTTGATTTTACACCCATTGATAATTAGATGTTGTTATGTTTTTATACGTTTTCTATTTAGAGTCAGTCCGTAAACGTTGTACACCC